AAGAGGTAGGTTCTCACTGTGAGGCAACTGTGAGGCAACAGTGTAGACAATTAGAGAAAGCTGACTCAATAAATTACTTAATGGTGCATGGAGATTTTTCCAACAATTAATGATCAAATATATAAGAAGGAACTGTGTCGGAGGAAAAAAAAATACCGAACTTATGTTTCTTCTTTTAAAACCTGAATTGTTTAAATAACTCCTGCATTTCAGAGTGATTGAGCACAGAATGAATAATCGCCCACACAGTTAAATCCACCATCACACAACTTGACTGCTTCCAAACAAGGACAAGTCCACACTGGAGACGGAGACGCTGGTCTAAGCTCTGGTTGTATCAACAGAATGTGGGATCAGATAAAAATGTAATGCAATGGGAATGCAGCAATCCTCAGGCTTTTAGAAGGGCTAGTCATCTTAGAGCTTTTAGTGCTTTATAAAAGCCATATTCATCCTAACCCATAATTAATTCTGCAGAAGCATTCATGCTGTTTGGAGAAACTGCTGCTCTGAACAGCAGTCCCAAAGGGACTGTTTAGCCAGGAAGTGATTTGGAAAGCAGTACTGTCCAGTTTCTTTATATGAACATTCCAGGGCAGGGTGGAGGTCACAGAGAAGAGGAACATCCTCCTCCGTTTTTTTTTAAAGAAAGAAAACATCCACAAAAATATATAATGCCTCCCTCTGGAGAAAAATATTCTCAAGGTTTTGTGCTTTTGGAAAAACCCACATGTCTGTTTTCTGTGTGAGAAGGGTATGCATCAGTGACTTGCACACATGAGTACCAGGTCAACAAAAATGTATTAAATATAAACCCAAATTTTCAAAAAAAAGCTTGTTAAAAATCAGTCTTGGAGATTTTCATTTGGTGCGAGGCTAAAAACCCCAGATTTTGTGGCCTAAATTCTGCACCGTCATCTAAACACTACATCTTTAACAGTGCAAAACGGAAAACTTGGATAAAATTGAAAAATTAAAGTCGTTAAAAAAAACAGTAGTGCTCTTTAGAAAATTTGTTGCAATTATTAAAAATATTCAAACATAAGGTAACATCATTTTCAAACCTCCAGACCATGTCGTTGGCCACACAGAGCAACAGACCAAACAGATTAAACCGCTATTTAAACAGAGGTTTCTTAACCCAAACCCACTTCTGATTACGTAACATTTTACATGTGACAGCTGGACGTGTTTTATTTCTAATCATATGTTATAAAAACTACGTTACCTTTTCCCACATTGAAAGTAACTAGGTAGGAGGCGCTAAAGAGGAGTTTAAGTTGTTCTAAAGATGCAATACAATAAATATGACTGTGTTACTAATTATCTTTACTATTACGTCTATTTTAGAGTATTGCCTCTGGAGTACATTGTGTATTTAAAAATGTAAAACCGCCTTGGATGACTTATAAATGACCAAACTGCAGTTTTCCACTCCACAAAAGAACAGAGGATGGCGGACTGTCAACTTTTCAGACCAATTTCTCTCTTTTTAGAAAAAATAAAACTTTTTAACAAATCACTCACCCGTTTGTCATTTCTGTAATGCCGAGCATCACTGTGCCCTCTCTCCCACCAGATGTGCGTCACCCGATCACTGTTGCAGCTGTCCAGATGTTGTGCAGTCCGGGATGTAACGTTGGTTTTCGCACAGCGGAGTAGAATGGCGAAAAGGGGCCTCGCCTCAGTCCGGCCGATCTCACTCCAGTGAATGAGCCACTTCCAGGTGGGACCTTTCAGTGTAAAACAGCAGGCTTGCAAGATTCAAACAGGACCCTAAAATAGGTTTTAAAAGAATAAATTCCTCCCTTTTTGCACAAACTCGAGCAATACATCATCTTACGTGGGTCTCCCACGATATCGCACGAGACTATTAACACAAATTTAGTTTCCATTTAAGCTAATGAGGAGTCAGGAAAACTGCCTTAAAATACAGCAGGAAACAATTTTCCTTTATACCTTTAACCTGTATTTGTTTGTGTGTGTTTATACTGCATTCTTTTTGCCTCGTATTTACTATACAAAGTTTAATGCACATTAATATAAAATATACAGCAAAAAATATCAATGAATGAATGAATGAAAACATTTTTAAACATTTTTTATTTAGTATTGGTGTTAAAATGTTTTATTTATGGAATTTAAAGATTTTATTCACGTGCCTTTTTGCAAATATATATTGACATTGGTCCCCACCCCCGACCTAAGTCAATAAATCACAATAATAACTCAAAACTGAGAAAAGACTTGGATTAATTGGGTTATTAAGACGAGATTCTAAGTTAATAATTTTGAGTTACCTTTTGGTTTTTAAAAAAGATTTTTTCAGTGTCAGTGGCTTTTTGTGTTTTGTTTTTCTTAAGTGTATGATGCAAAGAGCTTGTTGGTCACTCTGAAAGATCTTATACTTGTTGCTCTTTGCTTAAAGAAAAAAAACACACAAAAACAACAAAACAAACAAAAACTGATGATACTGTAAATCATTTCCCTTTTTTTCGCTACTTCAGACTACTACAGTCGCTACTACAGATTTCAGAACTGTTAGAAAGCAAAAAATTTCGATTGTCTGCCTTTCCCCCCTAATTTTATTTTATCTTTTTTTTTTTTACATTAGTGAGGCGATAAAACAGAGTCCAAACACGTTTGGGAAGAACAGAAAGCCAGCGTTATCACATCAAGTGCTTTTATTTTGGAGACCAGAGGCTCGTGGATTGTTGCACGCGGTCCAAGTGACTTTGTGTTTTTTTTCAGGTTTTGTTGGCAGGATGCACCTAAAACCACCCAGTAAACTCAGTAGGTTCTCTGCGCTCATTATCTCACTATAATATAAATGAGACGGATGCCAAAAGAGTCGCTTTTACATCCGCTGCAGCTTTACGCTGGGCTGTATACACATGAAGTATCTGGTCAGCATTGATAGAAAATCTGACTTTCAGTTTGCCACCACTGGGAGGACTGTAACTACAGTTCAACATGGCGGGTGGGAGCCCTGAAAAAACATATCACAGAATCCATTACATAACAGTAGCAGGCAGGGAGACGGGGCTAACAGCATGTTTACATTACTTACAGTAAAAGATGCAGGAGTTTGTCATTTCCTCTCCCGATTGCGTCATGATAATGCACCCACCATTTTTTTTCCTTAAAAGGGAAACCCCTAGACCCTGCTCCCTCCTTCCAGGGGGATGAAGGACTTTCAGAGCAGCACATAGACTGGCTACTGCATCTGTTCAGATGCCCAGCAGTAACACCAAAAACAGGAGGATTATTAATGATGTAAATTAAGGTTCATCTTGTAGTTTTTATCTGCTCTTTTTGATTTAATGTGCGAAACATGTCCATAAAAGTGCTTCCTCACCACATTCATGTCCTCAAAAAAAAAAGAGAAAAAGAAAGAAAAATTTAAAACATCTGGCTGCTGATTAGAAGCTGTAGATGCAATGCTGCACTTCAAAAATCAATTATAAATAAAGGACACGAACTGAATGCAAAGCATGGAATCATTTTAATCTTTGTTAAGTTCTCTTTTTTTTTTTTTATAGTTGTAAATACACCAGAAAAACATACAAACAATCACTGCTGTAGTCTTTCTTGAGTACGATTTTGCAGTTCAGGTAATCTCTCATAGCTTCTGCTCACGTTAAGCATCATAAATATAAAAGTTTAGATATAAATACAGTCCATTGTGCTGGGTGAATCACCAAAAGCTGCCAATAGGGGGAGAAAATAAACCGGTTAATAATTATTTTTATCACTGGTCAGCAGAAAACTGTATTCATATTAGTAAGTATATGTTTCACTGGGAGCGGGGTAGATATGAGGTGTTTTTCTAACTCAAAGCACAGGTCAAAAGTCAGAATGTAAGAATGTAAAATCAACACCATCTATAGGTCTGATGAGGAGCCTTGCTCAAGGACACTTTTGCGAGGCAGATGTGCTTTCAGCAATGGAAACTGCAAGATGCAACAAATCTTTGTTAAGGTTCAGTGATTAAATTGCAACACAAATGACCAAACTATAAAACACTCCCATAAAAGAGAGACAAACTATTAAAATAATGGTCCAATATTAAAGTCACAACTAATATTACAAATTATTACAGGTCACAATGAATCAGAACTCAAGACATGGAAACTGTTAGTGCTCCTGAGTTGAGTATGTGATGATTTAACCACAAAACTGTAAAACCAGCCTGGGGAAAAAAAGGAAAAATGTTAAAAGTGTTCTATTATTGTCTGTTTTATAGACATATATGTATGGAAGTTTGGATTAAACACAAAGAGTGTATGTGCAAATAAGCCCAGGCTTTATACTGCTTTAAACACTCATTTTCTTACTCTTGGCTCTGTGTGATGTCAGTGAGGGGTGAAATCACTGATATGATCACAGGAGGTCCAATCTTTTGCTAGTGAGGGGCAGCCAATCAGAGGCTGTCTTAAAGGGAGTGAGAATCAAAAGTGGATGAAGGGCTGCATCAAAGCTGAGTATAAGACACAAGCATTTTTTAAAACCATGAAGTCTGAGAAACTACTCGAAAATAAAAATATACAGGTGGGAAGGAGCATAACAGGTCATCACAGTTCCTCACCAACCATCAGTAATGTTGAGGAGAACCTCAGACTTATAAACACGCATCCCAGTGCAACTGAAATGAGATTATGGCAGTAATCTGTAAATTACGCACACGTTTCCCACAGCATACTGCGTTACAGATCACCCAATGCTTTCTTTACCTTCCGGGAAACAACCAAGTTAAAAGTAAAATCAGAGAATCAAATTTTTGTGAAGAAGGTTAATTTCTATACGGCAGAGACCAGTAGAATGGCTGATATGAAGGCAGCTCAATCACATTCAACAGCCTATAAGTTTTAGAGGTGCCTCTGAGAAAAGCTAAAATGTAAACCGTGTAAATCAAGCCCATCATAAAATGCAGGTAAAGTTGTCTTGAGAAGTAATTAAAGATCTATAAATCATATCAAGCAATACACCAGCACATATTTCTTCCTCTTGATTAGGTTTCCTCTCACAATTTGTTTGCACCCTTTTGGATTCAAAAACACTGCGATCATCACGTAACATACACTTAATTTATTATACCCATTCATTTTAGTAATGATGCTTTGTAATGCCTCACTGTGTAACCATTACGTCCAGTAAATGTTTGGAATACATGTTTACAGCACGCTGAAGGAAGACAGATATTCATCACAGTTATCAGTAAGAGACCCATGTAGCTATTGCACTGCAAACTCAAATTGTTATACATTTTGAATATTTTGGTTTTCTTCATCTTAATCATAGACTCCTCTTTATCTGATACATTCCTTGGTCCCATCTACTGCATCCCACCAAAGTTGTAAGTGCCCCCAGTTAACCTCCCAGTTGTCACTGTTTTAAAAGTGCAGCTTCAATGATGAGGACAGGTTTTCACATTAAAAATAAAGGCTCAGTAATAACGCCGACTTTGTGCTCCCAGTGTTTTCTTGGCTTTGATTTGTGGTCGGTTTTATCTGATCCCAGACCAGCTGTGGAGGTAGGAGGTCCAGCCTGAGCTCCGAGACCCAGACGCCTCCTCCTCACCTGCAGAGAGGAGACACAAGAACAGGTGGTTAGACATTTATGAGGTATTCTGGATGCTATAACCTGCAGCACTTCAGAAAAGAGGAGACTAATTGAAAAAAAAAGAAAAAGGGTTTTGTCTGAAGAAAGAAAGAAAGAAAGAAACAAAAAAAAAAAATCAAAGACAGGTTGTCGGTGTGTGTTTTCTATTATGACTCAGCATGAAAATCAGTGTGACGCTGCTCTGTACAAAACACAGCAGAGACAAATTCTTCCAGCGGGGCCGTGCGCTCCTGTAAGTGAATTGGAAATGGTCTCTTTTTCAGGGTGGAATACAGCACACACCTTTAATGACTTGGCAGTTTCACTTTACCATCATAAAATGAGAATAAATTATTTTCGGAAATCACCAAGGCTCAAGCCTGCCACGAGCTGGAAACTTGTGGAGAAATGTTTGTTGATATATTTGGAAGTGTAAATGTGAGACTTTCAAACCTAAGACCACTGTAACAGCTGTCATGCATGGTGGTGGTAGCATATATTAACATTAGTTGGAGTGTATGCATATATTTCAGTTTCCAAGTATAATTCTGGCCCTATGTGGATTAGAGAAAGCCCAAGGTAAGCTCAAACTTGTGCACCCAATTCTTGCTTTTAAATTAATTAAGAGACATATGCTGTACAATCATCCCTCACGTCAACAAAAGAATAAGAAGAGCTCACATAAATCATTAAATGTCCAAAGTTCCCATGGAATTCTTTTCCATGAGGTGTGGATGCAAATTTCTGACCAAAAGGTTTCTACACTTTAAATCATACATAATAACCTTTTGAACAGACCATGCGGTGAATAAGACTTTTCTTTTTATAAATGCATGCAAACAAGGTTTACCCATTGCATACCTTGTGCAATGGCAGACAATTTGCTTTTCTCTTCTGGGCTGAGCTGCAGCATGGTGTGGATGACGGGCAACAGAGCCTGCCTCTCGCTGCCGGATCGCAGGAAGATGAACTGCAGGAGGACGTTCTTCAGGTACTCCAGGTTGGCCACACTCTTCTCCCTCTCCTGGTTTCGCTCCAGACGCCGAACTTCACTCTTCAACAGCTAGGAGGCAGAACATACAAGCGCTTTAAAATTTACAAAATCCGAGCGTCCCTTCGGCTAATGCTAAACGGCAGGAAAATAAGCTAATGCACAATAGCTTATCGAGTCCATTTCAGGTTTAAAAATATGAATATAGGAGGTCAGCTCACAGTATTTTTAAGTGATTACTAGTATCTCGAAGGGATAACATTACATTTGGTCCACGCTACTTTCCGTAATCGAGCACCTTACGTCACATACAACAAGCATGGCGGCGTCCTCTTGTCTACTGAATATGAAGCGTTGAACGCGAGTACAGCAGCGACTTTTAAACCCGGACTGCAGCTGCTCTTGTGCGAAATAGCTTTAAAAAACTACAGCGACAGACAAAGATGGGCTTCGAGCAGCTGCTGTGGTGTTACTCCAGGCGGTTTCGGTTCCGTAGCGTTCAGCTAAACCAGGTTGGAAACACGTCGTTGTCGGCGCACACTACGTCTCTCGGCAGCACGTCCTCCCGGTTTGGTGCTTCTCCCGGACTGTTGGGCCGGATATTTGCCCACACAGGCCCCCAGCTGGCCATACGTCGGAGGATGTGCACCTCCACCCAGCCGCCCAGAGATGTCACCTTGTTCGAGCACGACAGGACCCGCTTCTTCCGGCTTCTCTCGATCTTCTGCGGCGGACAGTTCGTCTTCTGGACGTACTTGGCTCAATTCGCCTACACGGGGCTCAGAGACACGGGCGGCACTAAAGAGAAGGGGGGAACCAAGACGCCTAGCACTGCCACCACGGGTCTGGCGGGAATATGGAGCTTTGAGATGAATCTGGGTTCAAACACCTGGAGGTATGGTTTCACGCTGGGATGCCTGACAATAGGAGCAGGCGTAGTGGGACTCGGGGCTCTGTTCTGTCGGCGCTCTGTCAGCAAAGTGGTTTTACACCAGGGTGGGAGGATGGTGACAGTCTGCACACAGTCACCTCTGGGACCAAGCCAAGGGAGGAGGATAACAGTCCCTCTGTCTCATGTAGCCTGCCACGCCCACAGGCAGGAGGCCACTTCCTTTATTCCTCTAAGGGTCAAAGGGCACAAGTTCTATTTTCTTCTGGACAAAGAGGGGACTGTGAACAACGCCAAGCTGTTTGATATTACCGTTGGTGCATACCGGCCACTTTAAACACAGCTGCCACACCTGAAACAGCAGTCTACAGGTGTGTGCTCACGTGGCTGCCACACTAATATATCAGTGTGTTTTTCATCTGATCTGTACAATCCGAATTAATTAAATGACTGACAACAAATACTTGGCTCATTTAGTTCATTACATTGAAAACCTCATGCTTTTGACTCAGTATTATTATATAAATTTCCAACAATTTAATATTTGAAGTAATGAACTGGAATTTTTATGTATATTGCACATTTCTTTACGTGTAAATGCAGTGTGCTTTACCTAAAAATAAGAGATTTTATAGGCAGATTAAAATCAGCCCCTGGAGAAAAGCCACAAAAGCCCTGGAAAAAACATCTCTGCAGGCCTGAATCCAGGACCTTCATGCTTTGAGGTGATATATAGCGAGTACACGACCTGCTACCCGAAAAAAAGATGGGTAACAGACAACACAAATATAAGCATGAGTAAAAATACAGATATTTATCAGTAGAGAAGAACAAACTGTTAGAAACACAGTTACCTTTAACGACTTTCTTAACAATGCACAGATCAGTAGCACATACAAGCATGACTAATTCTAACAATTTTTCCACCAATAACCTCCTAAATAAAAGCTTATAGTAAGTAAGAGAGTTGAGCCTGAATTACAGCAATTCTATATGTGCCTTATAAAGTGCTAGAAACCAGAGAACAGACCTTTTCCTTTAATAACACTTAATAAATATGGCATATTCTAATGTAATAAAACCTATAATGTAAATATACCAATACAATACAGAATAACTTTAAAGATGATCTTTATAACTCAGAATGTATGTGAAATAAATACTTAAAGTTAATCTACTTTTGACTGCTTTCTTATCCTCAGCGGGTCGACACAGTGGATATCTCCACATGTTTGATTTGGCAGATTCTTTTCTTAATTAAATGCTGAATGCCCTGCCCTACCCAACCTGAAAGGGGAGGTAAATAAGAAAGTAATCTGATGGTTTAAAATTATGCCATTCCTTCAGCTAACAGTAGTAGTACAGCAAATGTAGGCAATGTGTTTGCTCTCAGTCTTGAAGAAACATCTTTCAGTGATTTTAATTGTATGTTTTTAAATCTTGCAAGTTGTTCGTTAATAAAGGGGATCATTCTCTTTGAGTTTTGTAGCCAATGCTTAGGAGTAGGTCCTATTTATTATAGTGGATGTGTCATATAGTAGATTTGCTAAGTGCGCAGGGGAGGCAACTTTAAAATAGACAACTTGTCTGGGTTATTAGCTCTAATAATTATTTAGTTTTGAGCAACAAAAAAATGTTGTTTCTGTGTTTGTAAAATTGAGGAAGTATACATACAGTGATCTGCTCCATGAGAATAGCGTTGGTAGCCTCAGTTTCATGCAGCAGGCTGTTCATGTGCTCCATGCTGCGGGTGGCTGTGTTCAGCTTTTCACTTAACTCTTCTTTGGTTGGCTCCACTGTCCACACAAATGGCTCTAGATATATCACATGTGCCATATAGGGGGTGTTATATTATATTTTACTCTCTGTCACTCTATTCTTTTTCCCCAAACATGGTCATTCATTGTTCATTGTAACTATCATCATTATATCTTGTTGAATAGGTCACATATGCAGTCCTTTTGTAAACTGAATGTGCTTTTTTTTGTGGACCTCTGCTTTCAAACACACCTTGTTTGGGTTCTGGAGATGTGAGAAGCTGCTCCAGAGAGGGTAGGGATGTAGGAGCAGGGGAGAAGCTCTCAGTCTCAGTGGTCTCCATGCCCTCACCCTCCTCCCTGGCCATAGACTGCAGGTCGCTGAGGGCCACTGGTCCCACACCCGCCTGGTTCTGGTCAGTGTTTCTGCGCTGTGGATCTGATGCCAGCGGTTTACGGCTGGACTGGACAGCAACTGAATCTGAGTGGGTGTAAAAGGTTGGGAGAAGAAGATTTGTGTGGGTCTTCTGGGCACATCAATACATTAATATTGAACAAGAGAAAATGAGGAGGTTGGATTCAAGATGTGTCAAACAAGAATTAAAAAAGAAAAAGAAAAAAAAGACTTTCTACTCATGGCCTTAAAATGTTTAAGTAAAATCCCTGGTGGAAAATAGTAAATAAATAAAGGAATTTAAAAGGGTTTCAATTGAAAGCAGCCTTCAAATCTTTTTTTAAGCATCTCTGGATTCTTATGTACAAACAAGTCCGATCACAGCAGCTGTGAGTTAGTGTCCTACTTCACTGTAACATGAGGGGGCACCAGACTACTCCAGGTCTTAACCAGTTCAGCTGGCATAAATGGTGATGTGGGAAGAGAAGGGTAGAGGGAAAAATGAGAAACTTCAGAAGAATAGATTGTGATTAATGAACCTGAACTGATCCAAGAGGCGAGACTCGCTACCAATCCCCCTCACCTCGCCACCTCCTGTCAGGCTCTTTACTTCCCTTGTCATGTAGCCGAGTGAGAGGAGCAAGAAGTCTACCTGCATACTGAACACGTTTCATAATAGTTCAAGTCCAGTAAACTCAAGAGCCCAACATATTTACCCAGTTCTAATCAAACAAATCATGACAACTGCCACTCAAAAGAGTGAAGCATACAGGAGTCCCGATTCAATAGTACATCAAGCTCTAATAGAAAGGTTTAAAGAAACCAATAAGGAAATAAAAGCACCTAATTTACAGGAAAATAAACACCCTGGGGATCATATGTATATCTGAAAAATACTGAGCAGTGTTTCTGCAAAGCCATCACAACTGCAACAGAGGGAACAGCTGGAAAGGCTTAAACACTGACTGATTTCTAATATATAAAAGACTTTTTTTATGTGTGTGTTTATGTGCTGCTTGAAGGTTTGGATAAAAGATTAGACAAAATATGACAAACGGCATATATAAATGTTACATCTGATTTATTAAAGAAAAAAAAAAAAACGACGCCAGTAGTTTTATCTCCCGTCTGTCCGATAGGGCAGTAACGCATTTAATCTGGCGTGAAATTGAAGCATAGTGGTAAAAAGTGGCTCAAATATGACTTCAAATTAAGGTTAATATTGGTTCCAGTTTCGAGCTAATCCTTGCATCCATGTGTGAGCCACTAATGATGAGTCTCTCCAGATGCCACAGTGAGCTGTTTGCCACACTGAGAGGCGGGGATAGAGCTGAGGAACCTTGCCAACACCTGGCGTCCTCAAGTGACAGAGAAGACACACACACACACACACACACTTGCCTTTCCTAGTCATTACTGTGTGTGTTTCTGCTGTTTGACTCCAGCGGGCAGCTGTGTGGGAGGTGATGAATGAGCTCTCAATGCTGCTCTTCTGATAAACACACTGATGCACATCACTCCTCTCATGGAGGAGAAGTGCAAGGACCATGGAAAACTAAAGCACTTGATGATTTCATTGATCTCTATATACCACACCTTTCATGTACTCCTTGAGTCTATTGCTGTCTGCTCTTTAGTAAAAGATAAAAATGTTACCTCACCTATTTGCTCTGTTACCTCTTGTAGAGAATCAGGTATTGGCTCAAGTTTACAACCCCACCCCCATGCTTACTGTTCTGGCTCTGCAGGGTAAAGAGCTGCTCCTCGACACGAGTCAGCTGGCCCTGCAGGGTCTCTACAGTGGCCCGGTGGTCATCCTGCAGCTTCCTCAGCTGCTCCCTGTAGGTCTGCCGCTGGGCCTCAACCTGGGAAGACAGGTCAGCCTGGGCCTGGGACAGGTCTGACCGCAGGGTCACGTTCTCTGACTGCAATGACAAAAGCCTGTAGGTGGACAGAGCAGGAAGAGAGTTTAGAAAGTGCTCCTTTAGGAGCGAATCAATATGAAATGCTACAGGTAAGTAAAAAAATAAAATAAAAAAGACGCAATCAGGTGTTCTCAGCATGTGCGATTATGTCTCCTGATTGCAAAATCAAATGCAAGGATGAACAGCTGAAAAGCTGAAAACGTGCTGTGTATCAACAACGTGACAGTACAATGAATTCCTGCCAAGACAAGATTAAAGAACAACATAAAAAATAAAAGTGTGTTCACCTCTCACGGAGCTCAGCTTCCTTGCTTACAGTTTCCTGAAGGATTTTATTGTGTCTCTCCAGAAGAGTGTCATGCTCAGTTTGGAGCTGCTGCAGCTCTGCTGCGCTGCTCTGGAGACTCTGCTGGCTCTCCACCAGTCGCGTCCTCAGCTGTTCCACCTGAGAGACCAACTGCTCCCTGAAAAACACACCACACGTTACTCTAACAGTGATATTTTCTTTTAGAAGAATGAAAATGAATGTAAATTATTTCTCATGGGGGATTTCTTGTAGGCTATACTGTGTCTTCAATAATTCAGCTTTGGTCATTGTAAGTACATGGTGTTTGTGTTCAAAATCAATTAATAATTTGACATTTTGCATGTTATTTAAGTTTTCTTGATCACATCTGAACAACCTAACCCTAACTCTGGGTGTACTTTGAGTTTTTCATGTGCTTAAAAGTCTCACACAGAGAGAGAAGCTCTAGAACAGCATCCTTAATCAATGCAGTAAGATTTAAATTCCTCTAATGTAAAGCCAACTGAATGTGTTACCATTAATTTTACATGCAACGATCTGCATCACACAGTCCACCACTGGTTACATACATTTACCAGCTGTCTGTTATTACAGTCTTTGTAGACTTCTATCATTCTTGCATGCCTTTACCTCTCTAGTTTGCCAGAGTCTACTTCATTCTGGGTCGTCTTGTTCTTCTGCTGCTTGAGAACATTGTGGACTCGCACCTTGTAACTCTCAAACTCCTTGGTTGTTGCTTCAAGCTCAACCTGGAATCAATACAAAAGGTTAACAAGACGTATACGATTAAAAGACGATTGATTTTCTAATACATTGTTGGTGAACAAATTTATTGTAGTGAGTCTTGTTAGAAAATCTAATAAAGAAAACTATTGTTGTCTCACACATTTACAAAAATTGAGATTTCAATACCACAGCTTACATAAAACCAGTTTTTCACTGGATGAACAATGATGAACAATGTCTTTTACAGAAAGAAAGCAATAACTTTACTTAAATTGCTCTAGGCAAACAACCTATTCCCAAACCTCTCTTACTGTCTAAAAATGTAAAGGGGAAAAAGTAAAGACTGAGCCAGAGGTGGCAGCAGCTGACTAAAGCATTTATTTTACTGTCAGTCTTGGATGTCACCAAGCATTGGAGATTACAGGTAAATCAAGGTCAGATAGATAGTTGGTTGGTCGGGTATTTACCAGAAAGGACTAGTTTGCAGATATTTGTTTCTTGTTGCAGAAATCTATGGTTATAAAGATTTACAGTTTCTAGATCTAATTACAGAAGTTTCTATAATGCTGTTTAACTGATCTGAGCCAAAGAATCTTCCTCCATTGACTTCAGATTAGTAGTATGACCTTAGTTAAATTCAATTTATTCAAATCAAATACATTTTATTTGATTTACATAGCGCCAAATCACAACCACAGTTCCTACAAGATACATATAAGATATAAGATATAAGGTAAGGTAAGACCATAAAATATTCTTAAAATAATCAATAAAATTAAAAACGTCATGCATAAATACATTACCCAGTTCTCATTTGTGTTATACATATAGTGGAATTTGTTTTTTTCAGTGTTGGTGACCCAATAATGAGTAGTTAAAAGTTTTTACCTTGAGCACTTTTCAAAAATTCTACATACTACAAAGATTTGAGGATTAATTAAAAATAATTCAGATATTAATAATGGAAGTAGTAATTAGTTGCAGACTCATATAACACTACTGAGCCTGAGCTGTAGAAGCCTTCGATTAATTTAATCAAAGCTGGACGGGTCTGACGTAGCTACAGCACCTCAGAATTTACAGTTAAGGTGTCCTTGAATGACTTCGGTGTTGTTATGGTTGAGTTATTATAGCGTAAACTGTCAATTCAGCTGTTACAAGTGAAAAGTCAACACGCGCACCTTGGCAGTGTCTCTTTCCTGCTGCAGACTCTGTATGCGTTGCTGCAGAGAGCTGCTGGTTCTCTGTTGTTGCTCCAACGCAGACTTCAGCTGCTCCTGCAGGCGATGGCGCTCGGCTGTCAGGTCACACACCTCAATCTAAATTCACAAACACAGGCTTTATTAAGTGCCACAGGTACGAAACAAATGGGTTTCTACAGTTTATTGAAAGGGATAGTGCTAGGTGTGTTACCTTAGAGCTTTCTAGCTGCTGCTGGTTAGCCTCCAGCTCTCCTTTCAGAGAGGCCTGCAGCACCATGAGTGAGCTTTCCTGCAAACATGCACACGGAATATTTAAATACATACAACCAAATAGGGAAGCACACAAAGAATTCCCAATAACTTCAAGGCCCCCTCCACAGTCATGTCCACACATGGCTGCATAACACTATTTACAAGAAGCAACATTACACACATTCATAAGAAATCCTTGGGGACACACCTCAAATACACACAGACACACACAGACCTGTTTCTTGGCATCAGCCAGGTCCTTCTTGGTCTTCACCAGCAGCTGTTTTATCTTAGCGTTTTTCTCCTCCCCCTGGTCCAGCTGGGACTTCAAAGACTCTGATGACACAATTGCACATTTGAATGGGCATGTGCACACACACAAACAGCATAATTTCTCAACTGTAGTCTTCTTATTTTTCTAGTATTTTGCTGTCATTATGGAGCTTGACAGCATGAAGCAACTAAAGGAGGAAGGAAAAAAACAAGCTCTAACATTTCCTAAATAATGATCCTACTGATCCCATGTACTGGCACACAGATACACAGGGCTATGCAAAAGTAATAGATAGAACATAAATAAAACTGAAGTTTTGCTTTCACTGAGCAAAATTTCAATTAAAGATTATTATACGGTGCAACGCTAAATACATTTGGATTGTATTATTCTGTGTGCCAGTCATTGAGTGTAAACCTGAACTTGTTATCATACCAATCTCCTGTTTGAGCACTTCTTCCTTCTGGTTGAGGCTGTTTATCTGACCCTTTAGCTCCTCAACACACTCATCTTTTTCTGATAGTTTGGTGTTGAGTTCTTTAACCAGACGTTCATAGTCGGCCATCTCCATGTCCAACAGAGAGCTCTGCTGCGCTTCCTGCAGGGAGAATCAACGTATTACAGCTTTAAACGGAGCACAGCTAAGACTCATCTTCAAGTCCATTTATCTGAAACTCTGGATTTCCTCCTCTCTACATTTAATTGAATTATACTGAATATATTGTGCAGTTAGTATTTTTGAAACTTGGACAGCTGAAGAAAGTGGATGAAATAATCTACACACACATTGTTTTCTTAAAGAAAAGTAAGGATCTGACTTTTTAAAGTCCTAAAATCTAGTTAAATTAAATAATTACAATCACAGCCACACAATACAATCCCTCATCTTCCTTAAATTACTGAACTAACATCTACATATTTCTGCTGCACTTAAAACATGCTTGTTTACTGATCTAAAACTGCCAAAATGAGATTAAAAAAACCTTTATAAGCATTTAATTGTCTTTCTACTATCAGTATCAACCTGAAAAATCCAATCTTTGTGTTCACATGACGTAGGCACCTCCTGGCAGCTTTCATGTACACGTCTATACTATGTAGGTCTCCACTAATGGAAAAGTAACAGCGGTCCCTGTACTGTGGGCTAGAATTACTCTCCTTCTCTCCATCAGGTGCTGCTGTAGCTGCAGGCCGGCCATCACCAGCTCAGTCGCTTGACTGGATCGGCCCTCTGAGACGCGCTAGTGTCTGAGAAGCATTTGTGTGTTATTTGTGTGTGTGTACCTTGCGTAGCTGCTCCAGCTCCTGGGCAGTCTGCTGAGACTGCTGCTGCTGCTTGCGGAGCTGGGCTGTCAGCTCTTCTGCCTCCTTCATGGCAGATGACAAATCCTAGAGAGGCAAGCAAGTGCACATGGGGGGGGGGTATAGTTAAATGTAATACAGATTACATATTATAAAAATAAATTCACTGTGCATGGCTGTTTTTATGATTATTTAAAAACATAAAACATAGAGTAGTTGCTTGCACAAAAGAGGGAGATGACATCCGTCTCTCTTCATTTCTACCTTTATCTTTTGCTCTTTTATTGCTCTCTCAGCCAGCAGGTCTCTTTCCAAACTTGCTGATTGCCTTTGCATCTCCTGATTCTTGGTCTCTAACTGTTTCAATGTGCTCCTCATGGTTTCCATACCAGCCAGAAGGTCCTCCTTCTCGCTGCTCAGTGTCTCACTCTGAAAACAAAAAAAAAAAGACTTGTTTATTGCCGCTGTCAGGTGAGTGTGCAGTGATACTCTTGAGGAAATCTGGTGTATTCTCATTTGATTTATTGCTCATAATCTGTCAGCTTTAGTGACTCTACAGTGTGAACTTCATTCTGGTTTCAGTTTACTGTGTCAGTTAAGAACCGCAGGAAACAAAAAGGATGATATACAAAGAGGAAAGCTGTCTTTCATATTTTGTAGTCAACATTCTCATTTATAAATACACCAGTTGGCACGTGACACATAAAAAAATAAAAATAAAAAAATCATTCATGCAAATCTGACAGTAGCAGGCTCTATGGGCTTCCTGTGCAGCAGCTCTCTCCCATCATCTGTCAGCCAAACAGAGAAACTATGATTGGTAAACAGAGATGCCCAGACGTACTCTGAGATCCCCGACTAGCTCCAGTCTTCGCGCTTCCCCTGAGATCCATGAGCGCACACAAGACTAAGCCTGTGCTTCAGAAAATGGTGTTTCAGTACTGCACGCAGCAGATGGAAGCTACAGCCCGCTCCATTTACCTGCCTTTTTCTCTCATTGGAGAGAAACGGTTATGAGCTTGGGGAAAAGAGTACATATAAAAACAATTTCTCCCCAGCTCACCCAGTCACATCTGATGGGCTATTTGTGGGCACCGGGCTGTCAGGTATAGCTGGGTAAAGTGTTGTCGGCTAAAATGACTCCCTCTAAATCATACAGAAACTGAATTATGGGGTAAGTATTGAAGAAATGTATTACTGGACAAAATCCCCTGCTTTGATTTAGTGGAGGCCGAGAGTTTGTGTGTGTGTGTGTGTTGTCGTGCGTGAGACTGAATGTGTGTCTGTGTTACCTGCGTGACAGCACTGCTGAGTCGTTTGGTCAGCTCAGCAATCTGTCTCTCTGCCGCCTCCACCTTCTCCCTCTCCTTATCCAGTTGCTCTGTCTGCTTGTCGTAATCTATCTGCAGGTTCTAAACACAACACACACACACGCGCGCACACAAACAAGTCTTCAATATTCATTACTAGAAACCTGATGAACAGCTCAGTGAAGGTAAACACTATGCATCTCAGTTATCAGCTGCATTTACATTTGAACGTGGGACAAAACTCTCATTAGACACAACACAGTGGTTTTATTCTTTAATGGAGACACAGTCATAAAGCAAAGTGCAATCTGGGGGCTGTTTACGAAGACCACTGGGAGCAATGTCTCACACAAAGTCTTTTTTTAAAGTGAGCGTGCCTCTACTTGCCAATTAGAAAGATTTTTGTATTAGTAATGCATGAAAGTAATTAAATGCACAATGGAATCTGTCAAGTTTATTTTGCTTTAATTCATGCTATGCTTTTATTTTGATGAAAAGCTAATGACATAAAAAGGTCCATGCGAAGCAGTAACATCTGATACACCCGGATACAAACCTAATAGTTCTGCCAATTTCAAACAGCCATTGAGAAAAAGAGCCGCAGTGTAAACATACCTCACTGTGGCGTCTCTGTTCTGATACGTCTGACATCATAATCCCGAGAGGAAAACAAACATTTTTCCACTTGGAAATTTCAGTTTCATGAAAGTCCCACTACAGGATCCTAGTGTCTTCAAGTAATATAGACAGGATCTAACATGTAAACAACAGATGCCTTACTTACACCCTTTATCTTAACTGTTCGGAGGTCAGGCCTATTAGAAACAGTGCAGGATTCTTCTTGCAGGTACTGTAGCAAGAACATGTTTGTGAAGCCTTCCCAATTACAAGTAGTTCTCCAGTGCTGGCTTATAAAATGTGCCTAAAAATTACTCTTATAGACAAACAGCCTGCAATGCAAATCATTACAGTGTAAAACTGTATATGTGTTATTACTTTATTTAAATGCTGTTTTTCAATCAGTTTGATCAGTATCAAATTAAATATTAAATGGACTGATTTATTATAGCACTTTTCTACTCTCCCGGAGTACTCAAAGCGCTTAATATAACATGCCACATTCATCCATTCACACAAGCACTTTCTTTGATTTTAAGTGCTTACTAACATTCACACACGTTCATACTCTGATGGCTGCATCGGAAAGCAACTTAGAGTTAATATCTTGCCAAGGATATCTGGCATGCAGACTAGGGGGAACCAGGGATCGAACCACCAACCTTCCAATCAGTAGATGACCCAGGAAAGTCAGAAATCCCAGAAACTCCAAACAAAACACCATTTTTCATTAAAAACTTCTCCAGAAAATAATTGATTGAATTGATTGAATAAATGGTGCTGTATTAATGGAGTCAACCTTGAAAGATTATCCCTCAGCTTCACTGTCAGGTCAATTACTCAGAAACAAGCAGAATCACTACGCATGTTAAAATATATATTCTCACTACGTAACACGCTAAAATCTAGAGCTTGTTGGTGAGCTGATAAATTAAACTTTGAACCAAAATATGTTGAGGGTACTGCATCCAATGGGAAAGAAAAAAGTGGCTTCCTGGAGTTATAACGCTCTAATTATATAAGAAAATACAAATTTCTGCTTTGCATTTACTTGTGAAAGTATGGGCTGTTTTAAAAAGTTTGCTGAATTCGAGTGTGATGCTGTAACAGGATGCTGTCTTAGATATTCCATGATCCACTTTGAAATACTGCCACTGAGAACGTTAGTGTTTAGGAAGTGTCAGCCACATAAAGTTACAGAGCAGATTTATCGAATGCAGACACTGAGTTACTTCAGTAGCTGCAGAGCTCCAAACCTCCTCTGGGATTAAAATCAGCACAAAAACTGTGGGCCAGGAGCTTCATGCCATGGTTTTTATGGCATTAAACTCCCGTAGGCATTAATATGTAGTTGTCCCAGTCTTTTACGTTTGTAAAGTGAGAAGACAAAACTGTGATAATTCACATACTTTGTGCACTACTTCATGCAAACTATTTTCCTTTGTATGCTACAAGTCTTTTCCAACCCAAGATTCCTACCTTGTAGCCTTCAGCACCGTGGATGATATCTTTCATAGAGCTGTTCACTTTCTCCCTCTCTGCTTTCAGTGATTCTACTTCCTCCTTCAGGGTTATGACCTGAAAAACAAACAAACAAGAAACCCCACCGAGCATTCATTTACTGGCAAAAAATATACTGATTATTCCTGTTTACATAAATCTGTAAAACAAGAGAATGTTGTGGAGTTCTCCTAAGGATCAGTATGGAGTGCAAGTTTTCTACCACAATGTTTGCTATTTAGAGAAATCTAAAGCTTTTCATTATAGCCTTATTGTCTGTGTTGGTAAATGATAACATTCTTCATTCTTCACAGTACCTCTTTCTTACTGGCGTCCAGCTCCTTCTTTGCTTTGACAGCGACTGCCTTGATTTTATTCATTTTCTCGACCTTTTCTTTATTTTCTTTCTCCAAAAGAGCTGCAGGAAGTTAAAACAAAGAAGAATATGATTCATCAAAAGTCTGGGAAAGTAACTTTGGTTCTTTTCTGCATGATAACTTGTAGATTAGATTGCTTTTATAAATAGCATGAACAGAAATCATCTCCACACCTATTTTCTCTGCAGTCTCATTCGATTTATTCTCCTCAGAGGACGCAGACTGTTCTGGAGACTCCTGAGAGGGTGACTGAGGAAAAAGAGAGAATGTTAGAAAGAGCACAAAAACAAATTGTCATAGTAACAGTTCTTTTTCCCCTCACAGATGCATTAGTGCTAGCGTGGAGAAGCACTTATTCTCCCCATTTACAGAAAATAAACACACATCACGTGCTCCACTCACCTGGATAGAAGCCATTTCGGTCCTCAGCTGCGATATGAGTGAATCCTTTTCTGTCAGCTGCTCTTTGAGCTCTCTGCTCTCTTTCTCCATGATCTCCACCTTTCTCACTATTTCCTCCCTCTCTTCCTCCTCTTTGGTCATGAGAGAAATTTGAGCTTGCAGTTTCTCATTCTCCTCGATGATCTTCTCATTGACTGCTTTCATATCCTGCAGGTCTTTCTGGAGACCCTCAGTATCTTTCACCACCTCCTCTATGTTGGTTCTCAACATGTTTCTTTCTTGTTCCAGGTCTTTGATGTGGGCCTTGAGCTCTGTTTGCACCTCCTCGAATGTTCTCCCCCCTTGAGCTTCTTCAAGGCTGCTTCTCAACAGGGCCCTCTCCTTCTCCAGCTCATCAACCCGTGCTTGGAGGTCTTTGACTTCTTTCATGGACTCTTGGAGTTCTTCACCCAGATTTTCCTCCATTACTCCAAGAAAACCAGAGATTCGTTCTGCCTCTGTTTTCATTGAATTCAGCCTTGCTTCTTGTTCTTGCTTTTCAGATGTCTCCTGGTTCAGCTGAGCTTCCAGGGCTGCTAGCTTAGAGTCTAAGAGCTCCCTCTCTTCCTGAGCTTTGGAAAGCCTTGAGAGAGCCTCTTCCATTTTCTGCTGAAGATCAGACTTTTCAGTGTAAAGCTCTTTTATAGTCAGCTCTAAAGTGGAAGCTGTCTGTTCAGATCTCACAAACTCCTCTTTTAGGCTTCCCTCTAACTTTTCTCTTTCCTCCTTTAAACGTTTCACTTTATCCTCAGTTTCTGTTTTCAGGCTTTTCAGCTCCGTCTCTTTTTCCTCTCTTAGCAAAAGCACCTCCCTTTCTTTCTCCTCCTGTAGCCTCTCGATTTCTTTTGTTCTCTCATTGTTGAGCTTTTGCATTTCCTCTTCTTTGATCTTCAGCAGGTGTTGCATTTTGTCTCGCTCTTCAGTCAGTGTTTCGACCCTTTCGTTCAGATCTTGAGTCATGTTCTCCTTTATCTCTAGCTGGGATATGATCTCCTCATGCCTAGTAACGTCCTCCAACGACTGTTTCACTTCGTAGGCTGAGGACATTTGCTCTTCACCTTGAGAGCTCTCAAGCTTCAGTTTCAGGTCTTGCATATCCCCCATCAGAGCATTTTTCTCATCTGTAGCTTCTCTCACCTTCTCCAGCAGTTCATCCCTCTCCTTGCTGAGCTGTTCCACCTTCTCATTAAGGTCTCGTATATTATTAGCTGCCTGTTCCTTCATGGCTTTGTACTGTACAATAAAATCATTTGTCTTCTCTCCCAATTCTGTCTCAAAACTCTGAAGTATGCCCCTCATATGGTGGCACTCGGCCTGGGCAGAGTCTTGCTCTTTGGTTAAGGCCTCACATTTTGTCCTCAGCTCCTGGTTTAGTTTCTGCTGCTCCTCCTCTGGACTCTGAGAGTTTTGCTCTTTGGCTAGAATGGTCACAGACTCTTCAGCTTCTCTGAGGACACCTTGATGATCAGGATCTTGGGTCATTGAAGCTTCAGCAGAAGCACTGTCCTTGAGCATCTGCAGCTCATTAATTTTGAACTCCAGTTCTTCTCTTTCCATTTGAAACTCTTCTTTAACCCTCTCCAGCTCTGCCTCGAGCTCACCCTTCACATTACTAAGCAGGGTCATCTCGTCCTGTAACATGGTGTTCTGGGCTTGAACATCATCCAGTGTCGCTTTTAGTCTTCCTGTCTCTGTCTCCTCTCCATCACCATGGCTCGAGTCACCCTGACTGCAGCCAGACAGCTCAAGCATTTTGGCGATCCCCGAACCACGGGCAGCTTCTTCATCTTCCTCCTGCACATCCTGCAGGTAGCTCTCTGGAAATATAACAGTAATATTTTGATTTAATTGAAACTGAATTTAAAGAGAAAAAAAAAGGAAAACACAATATTAATACTTTGATACCAGAACAGACTTAACTAAAAAGAGCTTTTTTACCTTTGAGTGCAAGCTGCTCAGTTAGCTCCTCTTGGAGCAACAAAAGACGTTCCCTCTCAATCTCGTAGTCCTCTTCTAGAGTCCTCATTTCCTCTTCGTGCTGCAGACTCTTCTGAGCCAGCTCCTCCTTCAAGTTCTCCACCTCTTGCTGGGCCAGTGTCAACTCCTTTTGGTGGTTCTCCTGGATCTCAAGAACCTCCTGAGAATTTCGCTCTTGCATTGTTTGCAGTTCGGCTCGAAGGGTCTCCAGCTGAGCTTCTAAGCAACATCGGACTTCCTCTGCACTCTCTTTTGCACTAGCAAGATCTGCTTGGCGCTCCCTCTCTCTTTCACTCTCCCGTTCTCTGTCACGCTCCTCTCGCTCTTTTAGTAATTTCTGAAAATGAGACACCTCTTCTTGGTGTTTGCTGGTGCACTCCTCAATGCTGCTCTCTAGGGCTTTGATCTTCTTTTGGTGCTCTTCTATCGCCCGGTCAAACTCACCTTGCAGCGCTGCCAGATCATCCTGCAACAAACATCATATGTGTTTTAAGAAGATCTGGTTATAATAACAAAATACATTTATTAGACTGCACAAATGTCAAAGTGTGTTCAAATAAACCCGTTTGAGTTTCTCTGAACACAAACCTGAATGTGTAATCAGGCTTACACATCATACAGCGGTGTGAGTGTTATCTTTCACCTTGGCTTGCTGTTTAGTCTTCTCTAGTTCTTTACGAGACACTGCAAGACTTTGCTGAGTTTCCGCCTTTTCCAGCAGCACCACATCCATCCTCTCAGTCAGCTCCTGTTACACACAAATAAACAATTCACGTAATGCAGTATGAAAATGAAGCACTGCATGTTAACAGAAGAAGCTTTTAGCAAACATGCAAACCTGTATCAAAGAGTCATCTGAACTGCTGTTATTGCTGCTTTTGGATTGCTGTTTCAGGGCTTCAACTTCTTTTTCCAAATCTAAGAAGACAAATAAACAAACTCATGACATAAACTTGAATAGTACTGGCACAACACAAACACAGGATGAATGTGTAATGATACCTGTACATCTGCTCTTCATCTTCTGCATGGCAGCTACCTGCTTTTTTGCATACTTGATGAGATCATCTTTAGAGAGTGTGTCCAGCTTAAAATAAGACACAAAGTTAAAAGGAGGCTAAAATATCTTTACCAAAACATCTCTAACAAAACAGAAAAAAAATCCAGCTGAAGAGTGTTGATACATATAACTCTTATGTGTAAGTCGTAACAGTATGCAGGACAGTAATGACAAATGAAAGGAACAGAATAAGTTGAATTCTCTGGGAATAAAAGGGGGGTGTCAAGGTTTTCCTATAATTTCTCACAAGCCTGTAGACAGCTGAAGTACAGTACCTTTGACTTGGGTGTGCTTGCTGCTGATGGAGTCGCAGACTCAGCTCCGGTACCACCAGGGTCCTTTTTTTTTAATAAAAGGAAAATATGAAAAAAAATTTGTTTTTATGATCAACTCCAGATTTATTCCACAAAGGTCGCATAATATTTCCTCTGAATTTTACTTTAATGTCATTTTTTACCAAAAGTCTACCTCTGGTGGCGTACGTTTACAACATTTTATGATTAATTACAGACTTATTGTCAATTCGGCAAAGACACTAAGCAGAAGAATGTTTACTGAAACTGCGTAAGCAAAGTTAGTATCACCAGGTAACGTCTCGATATTAAGCACATTTAAAATTCATGGTTGTTACAGTAGGACTACTGCATGTGACCTTTACTGTTACCAGCACAGTTCATCGTGATAATTAACTATGCATTACAACAACAGCTATTAAGAAACAGACGCACATACATACATATATATATATATATATATAACCTCGAGGTACACATCATTACTATCTGTGAGACTAGCTAACGCTAACCCCTCCACAATGATCATTTACCTCCATCCCAGCTTTTCGGACTTTTTACTGCTTCTCGATCGTCTGACAAGCTCAGAGAGATTGCCGGGAACCTGACCGGACAAAGTCGAATCGATTTCCAAAGTATTTTACGATTCGTCACAGACTAAACACGGAAAACATCTCCTCTGTTATGGTTTTGAGTTAACAAGCTAAAGCACACGCTTCCGCATTCGTCAACCAGGTGACGTCGGTATAATTGACGTCACAACTTTAAACACAGACACCGGCAATCACCAACAATTTAACATTGAAGAAAAAAAGGTAACTGTCTATTTTGAACGTAAAGACAACAAACGATGTATTATTGATACATTTCTAACTGTTACATTGTTTCTAAGTTGTGATTATTAGTACTTTGAGTCTTATAAATTCATAACAAATAAAAACATGTCAGCAGCTAAACTTTATAACGAACTGCCCCCCATATGCCTTAATAATAATAATAATTTACATAAAAAAATCCCTTATTTAAATGTTTGAAGCATTTAATTCAAATTAAATTTAGAAAAAAAAAAAAAGAAAAGAAAAAATGAGCATAACAGTAGTATAAGTTATACTGATCCTGGCTGATCATTGTTCATTTGCTATGTTCATATTTCATTTATTTATATCTAATTACATTATTTACCAACTGGAATTTGAGTTTCTCCATCTCACTTTCACCAGCTCAGCACATCTGTCTTTTAAATCAGAGCCTTTTGCATTCTCTGAATTGTGCACAGACTGAATTCCTGTTCACTTTCACCTGTTAGATACAAACAGCTCGGATTTTAAAATGTGGAAAAGGCAAAAACTGAAAATAATTTAGATAATAACTTGATTAAATACTGATTATGGTAAATAGTCTTAAATGGCTACATAGATGTGATGTCTATCTGGGTATGCTATATGGCAGCAAAACCTGTAATTAAGTGCTGGCCTGATGTCTGAGAGGAGAAATAGTAAGTAGCTGCCTGCAGCAGGGCTTTCAGCATTTTGATAAATTATTAACAGAATTTAGTATTATGGTCAAGAAAGATTTTATTCCACTGTAAAAGTAAAATACAACTGCTGTTTATTATACACATACGCTGTATCAAAGCCACTCGATCTAGCCGTAGGGTGAACAGATACCAACAAACTACATGAGGCAAAGTGTATGTTTGCATGGGACAAGGCAGGACGGGGTAGAATTAAATTTTGATATATAACTTAAGAGATTAAGACAAGGAAATTATGCAGGTCATAAGTTTGGGATTTGGAAAATAAAGAGATATTCTGTTATATTTATTTAAATTAAATGGTTCAGACTTTTATTGATGGGTTTTCTGCCATCCTGTATTTGGCTTTTGTATTGCAACATCTGTTTAAACAGTTTACAGTTATTTCATCTGCTGTTCTCTCTGTTAATCATCTTTGGGTTTCACGGA